GTTTGTTCGCCGATGAAGAAGAGAATCCATACTATGGTAGCTCACAGCAGTGAACTTGTGTTTATTGATTCGACAGGTATGCATATGCAACATATAATGACAAAACACATGTAGATTGTTGATTATCAATTATCATCATGCAATGTGCGTATTTTTGTATATTTTTATGATAAAGACCAATTACAGATCATGCAGGGATTGGTTGGTCCTTATATTCTGACATTATGTTTTCTCAACCCGAGCATCATGATAACTGTTCTCAGTTATAATTTCTGACTTGTTAATTAATACCAAGCTGTCTATTTTTTTCTTAATGACAGGCAATGTCGATCGCCATGGGAGCAGGATTTTTCTACTCCTCACCCATAGTTCCTCTGGTGGCCTCCCTCTCGGTGTAATCATCTGCTCTAATGAGCAAGAGTGCACGATTTCAGAAGGGTTGCAGCTTTTGAGGTCAATCCTTCCTACAAATGCCTTCTATGGAAATGAAGACAGAGGGCCACAGATTTTCATCACAGATGACTGCCTTTCTGAGCGAAAAGCCATCAAATCTGTGTTTCCAGCATCAACATTGCTGCTATGTACATTTCACTTTCTCCAGGCTGTCTGGCGATGGCTGTGGGATGGGAAGCACAAAGTGGACAAGAGTCACCGACAGTGTTTGTTCGGCCATGTAAAGAAAATGGTGTATGCAGCAAACATAGATGAGCTTGAGGCAGCATTTGATGCAGCAATGAGTGACCCCTTGGTATTACGGTATGTAGGCTTATTATGATTGTTACACAAGGTTGTACTACATGTAAAATTTAAAAAGCAGACACTTCTGAATGTGATCAATAATAACTATTAAAATTGTCTCTTTGAAAACTACTAAAAATATGTTTTAAGATTTGAAATGGAGTTTCACTTTTTTGAAAAATCAAGACCATACACATCAGTAGCTTTTCAACTCCCTTCACAAAACTTCTGCTACCCATTGTCATCAAAAATTCATGTTGCTGTTGTAGAATGGCATGTTTGATGCCCAATGGGTATTATGCACTGTTATCTGAATTGATTACGATCACAAATTGCATGGACTTGCCAAAATAATTAACAACCTATTGACATTTCATAACCATATTTTATGAAAGAAATGTATCAAAACCTTAATAAGAAAGTTGATACCCTTTGACTTTGAAATGTGCAAACTTCATTTTGATCAGAATATTTAGTTTGTTGATAAATAAAAATGTCGTATGTGCTTTAACTTCCAAATATATAATGTACATTCTTTTTATTAATTTTAAAGTATAAGACGTACATGCGTTATAATTCATTCACTTCCATATTTTGTCTTGTTAAGAAATCTGCATGGTAGATATACATGTGAATGTGTGTGTTGCTGTGGTACCACTATGTGGCTTTTCAGTATGTCATTTACAGCAAACAAGTGTTAGTCTGTTAACATTTCAATGCATGGCCAAAACAACACCTTTTAGTGTACGACAACAATTTAAAATAATTTTTAGCCAGTCTCTTGGGAAAGTTAGTTCAGTTACTAGAACTCAGGATTGTCTTTGTTTTTCTCTTTGATCATCAGGTATCCAAATTACACCGCCTATCTACAGGCTGGATATGACAGAAGAGAGGTGTGGGCCCAGGCCTTAGGCTATTCACCCGAGGACATAACACCAACAATTTCGCTGAGGCAGCCATGAGGGTGTAAAAGATTCCATTCTCCATCGCATGAAGGCCTTCAACATACCTCAGTTGCTGGACTTTATCCTGACTAGGCTAGAAGCATTCTACCAAAGAAACCTCATAGCGATTGCGAACCAACGGGTCCCTGCCTGGAGAATGGCTCGCCAGAGTCGCTCTTCAATCCCGAAGGACGACCTAGATAAGGTATTTTTTTTCTCTTAATACTTTGGGGGTGGTTGGACGATGGGGGTGATGAGACCTTCATTCCCTAAAGTATGCAAGTACGCTTTTTATGAATTGGAATTGCTGCATGTTTGACCACACCGTTTGTGTTTTAAACTTGAGAAAGACTGTTTTTACATTCTGCCATGTATCTTGCCGGTTATTTTCCCTCTAAACCACTTCTATCGTTTATTTTCTGTATATTTATTGAGAATCAACACTGAAAAAGTGGAAAGGGTCAATAAAATGGCTAAAGAAAGTGTAAAACAGTAGGAGACAAAAATTGTTGAACAATAGAATAGAAAATATTAAAGATGTGTAGATTGATTTTTTCCTCCATGTAGTGTGTTAGTTTAAGACCCCATTCTCACTCACTTTCTGGACCGATCTAGGCTAGACTCTCCACTAGATCACTCCAGAGGTACGGTTTGCTTATGTTCACACTTAACAAGCTAGACCGCTCTTGTTGCTATGGTAGCACGAACAAGCCAGGGAGCTGCTGTTGATGTGGTAGCAAAGGTCAAATGTTTCGTGCCGAATTTTAAAACCGAAATCTTTTAAAAAAAACTTCTATCACCTTCTCTCATGTTATTCTTTGTTTTTATTATTTTCCCTTCCTATTTTTGCTTATTTTATTCTCCGTTTTTTCCTTCTATCACCTTCTCTTATGTTATTCTTTGTTTTTATCATTCTATCATTTCGTTTTATCTTTCATTACTTTTCCACCAAAACACTCTTCGCTTCCTGGCATGGTTTATGTTTACACTCACTGTTAGACAGGTATAGCCTAGATCGGTCTAGGAAGTGAGTGAGAATGGGGTCGTATATGGAAATCCTCCCACAAAACTCTATTATTATCAAAGATTCATGTATTCATCCAAGAGGATAATTAAATTTGGGGGCAGTTTTCAGGGGGGGGGGGGAGGTATTGTGCATGTTGATAGTTGTCCTAGAGGGTTGTTGTCTGAGAGGTGTATTTTGATTCCTTGTTAACTTTCCATGTTCAACTTTTCTTTAAACATTGATTGGTCAAATTACTTTCACTGCAACTACCAGACTGGAGAGTGCACATACGTGGTTAAGAGCCAAAGTGAGAGGGGGGTGACATACACCATCGACATGAAGGTGGGGATATGTACCTGCCATGAAGGCCGGAATGGTGGACCCTGCAAGCACCAGGAGGCAATTCACAGGCATTACAAGGTGCCATCCAGTAACTTTCTGCCAACTACTGCTGGAGAAAGGGCAGTACTACTGAAAATCGCTACTGGAAGTAAGTGAAATCATGAATTCTCTTTGTTATCTTTAAGTTGAAAGTTATGTTTAATGAAGTAGTGTATTGAGATTGGTATCACTTACTGAAATAATAATTGATTTTGAATACGTACAATTGAATACTCAATTTGTTTAAAAAAAGAGTGTGCGTGTAATTGGGTTTTTACAGACGTGTATCAATCAGATATGATTATTTACGTCTGGGGACCGACCTTTAACGTCACCATCCGAAAGACGTGACTCAGTTTCGAACCTGCGCTCTCGGCTGAATTAGTTTGTAACTTCCACTGTTAGCTGGATTACAGGCGCACGCCACAACGCCTAGTGCTCATGTAAGAGCATACAAATAGTGTAAATAACTGATGAACTAGACATGTACCCCCAATCATGACCCCTGAGTTTTGTAATACAAAATAACTACTTTATTTGTGAAGCATCTCAATTGAACAGGTTTAAATCAAGCTTGCCTCATCCAATATGGTCCACAACTAAGTTTGTCTCATACCGATGTAATATATTTTGCACTCATCTACTACATCTATTATCCTTATAGTCTAATTCGGTATGTTGGCCAATTGATCTCATAATTATTTCATCACGATTTAAATATCATGCTGTTGACACTATTTATTATATTGATTGATTGATTTATTCATTTCTGCATGGTTCATCACATAACATTGTATGATCAACATCAGATTAAACCAACAATAGCTGTAGAATTTGAAATGGCAGTCTGAATCATAATTTATAAAATGGCTTTATTATTTTAAGCATCGTGATTGGTCAAAACCTGTCACATGACATGCACCAATTTTTAATGCATGCACAATCATGCTAAAAAAAAAGGGCTGTCAAAAGACATATTGCACGCTAAAATATTGATATCCAACGCAGCGTACACGTACCTAGCTAGAGCGGGATATTATTAGAAAACAAATTTTTGTTTACTTTTGCCTTGGATTTTGGCCTGTTTTGACTTTTGGATTTTATAATGAAGCCAGGAATTTCAGCTGTCTGATGTATGGATTTTATTTTTACTCAAGGCAAGTGGAATCCTGTGTTTTTTATTATTATTATTATTTTATTATTTTTGCATTATTTGTATAACATTTGCAGTAATACTGCATGAAGAAAGAAACGGGTTTGGCAATATAAGCCAATAAGACGTTGTCACACCTATACCATTCAATTGAACATATATTCTTCAAGGGATACATAATATTCCTCAATCAATGTCTTGATCATGTACAGCTGCAGCACCAGTCTCTCTCTCTCTCTCTCTCTCTCATATTTTACCAAATCTTATCTTTCACACTCATTGTAATCAGTGCTGCATGATAAACATTTGAATAGAACTACATGTGTTTATCAATTGAATTCCAGGTGTCGACAATGTCCTATCAGGATGGATGGATCCTCTTCAGTCCCAGGAGCCCATGGCAGATGTGCCAGAATTGCAAGAGACAACGTTGGTCACACATCATAGTGAAATGCAGGATTCCCAACTTGTCCGTGTGGACAGTCTACAGACTCAGAGGGACTTGCATAACGCCTTCGACAGACGTCTTCATGGAGACAGCTCTTCCAAATGTAAGTATCGCTTTCAACTGAAAAGTTTATTTTCTCATTGTTACGATTATACGTTTATGCAAACAATTTAACCATTTAGCATAATATGTAATATATTCAATTCAAAAATTAAATTACTGAACACAGGGATGTTTTCTTTTGTGTCTCCTCTTTAAACATACATGTATTTCAGTTTTTCACTGAAAATAGAAATGGAATACGCTTATGGCTTACGAGTCCTAAGAATATGTATATATTTTTGAAAATTTTACCAAGTTTAGTCAAACATTACGCATGTAGAAAATCATTAAAACCTCAAGGAAAATACATATGGGATGCTGAATGGTTAAATAGATATGACTTTCATTTTAAATTGTATTACGTGCGTGAATTGTTTTCCACCTACAGATCATTACATATGAGACTGCAGAATGATTAACAACTACACATGTTATTTTTGAATTATGTTACTTTGGTATTTAAAAAAACTTGTATTATGTTTTTTTTTCTATTCTGCTTTATGTCGCTTTTATGTTAATATTGTAGTGTAAGGACCCCAGGGAAGAACAGTAGTGTTCTATAAACATTGCTGAATTGGGCTTTCCACCAATATTTCATTTTGTATATTTTACTATGTAATATATTTTTATCTGATTTCGGAAATAACAAGAACAACAACGACAACAACGACATTGTCTGTTTCATATACAGTGTAATGCCTGACAAGTTTTCCTGAATTTGCATGATTTGTTGACATTGTTTTTATTCATGAGCATGAATTAACTCTTTACATTCTTATTTTCATTCTAAAACGACAATTACACCTTAAACCATTAATTACGAGGGATTGCTTGGATATCTTCTGAGTATAAAACAGTAAGTACTAGTACATCTCCTTTTTTTTTTTAAAATAGTTTTATGTGGATTTTGTTGAATTGATAGATGATATATACTATACCTTGTCTTTGTTTTTATGCCTCCGCTACAAAGTAGCCATGGGCATTATGTTTACTGGGTTGTCTCGTGAGCCCGTTATCTCAAGAACCGATTGATGGATTACCAAAGAGGAGGTCAAAGATCAAAGGGTCATACATGTATATGAAAAATAGTTTGTAAACAAGATATTCTGAGAACCTCAATTTTTAAAATTGCTTGTTTTGGTTAAATTGGTTTGTAAAATCGCTCTATGGCGGAGGCATCATTTCCGACTGCACGCAGTCAAAGAGCTATCTAGTTTCTTATTTATTTAGACTTTCCCTAAACCACTGCATTACATTCCATGTATAAAGCCATTTAATGCAATATTCAGAGAGAATATCTGTTTGAAGCAATTGGTTCAAAGACTGAATCATTACCCAAACCCTACAATTTTTAATTATTATCATAATGATACCCACATTCATATAATTGTTGTTGTGGCGTATAACCCAAACATAGGAGATATTCAATAATCACAGAATTTGACATAATATTTAAGTACAAATGCTATACATTCCTCATATGTGCAAAATATGAGACCTATTTTTTCCTGCCCCAAAACTAACCACACATGATTAAATGAAATTGTTTTCTTTCCTTTAAGAAATTCTTTACAAATATGTGCAAACAAATTAGACATTAATATTAGAAATTCATTTCCATTTGGCCACTTCATAGTATTCTTTACTTCTTTTTCAGCTCCAGAATCTGAGAACCTTGTGAAAGGAGTCCACAAAATGTTCAAGGAGATGGAGGAGAAGCTTCAGCAAGATCCAGACACATTTGCCGAGCCTTTCAAGGCAATGTTGAAATCATATGGGCGTCTGAAGACAAAAAACAACTTTGTCTCAGCCATCAGAATGTTTGGCCGATATAGCGGCATTAATCTTGCCAGGCGCAAGGTTAAGCCCAAGGTAGCAGGAATGCAAGTGTCTGGTCCAAGCATCGGGGTGCAGCCCACAGCCATTGGGCGAAGAAGAGTAAAGCTTGGGGGGAGGAGACGCTTGACAGGGGGTCGACCAACCAAACAAGAAGCTGTTGTGGAGCATGGATATGCCAGAGCTTCCTCATCCTCTCAGCTTCCCTGTAAGAAGCGTGTTGCTGCACCGCATTCCCTCAGCCATGCTGTCACAGTGTGCCAATCTATCGGCAAGACACATAATGCCAAATAATTTGTGCATAGTTTTCATAGTTTTCACCTACCAAGAACATGTTAGTCATTGGGAGCACCATTTCTGGTGGCCAAGTCAACATACATACACCCTAGCTGTAGACCCTGTATGGCCAATGCAATCAAACTTGGCATGAAGCTAGCTTTAATAGGTAATATTGTTCACATACCTGCTTTCTATGTGTGGGCGTTCTAATGGCTCTATAACTTTATTGCGTAATGACCAATTGTCCCATTAAGCCGAGGGCCAAAGTCAGAAAAGAGGGATTTGCCTGCCACTACCATACCACACAAAGCACACCCCGTTTATTTGAAAGATTTTCTAATAATACAAAATATTTCTGAGCTGTTGTTTTAAGCCTCGATCTGCTACAAAGTAGCCGGAGGCATTATGTTTTAGGATTGTCCGTCCATCCTACGTCCCTTTCTCGTGATCGGGTTATCTCAAGAACCAATTGATGGCTTCCCGCCAAACTTGGGTCATAGTATCTTGCAGAGCCAATGAACTGATTAGATTTTGGGGTCACAAGGTCAAAGATCACAGGGATCATTATGTATGCACAAATAGCTTGTGATTACACTATCATTAGAACCGATGGACGGATTACCATCAAACACTAGACCTGTACGAAGCCAATGAACTGATTAGATTTTGGGGTCATGAGGTCAAAGATTAAAGGGGCAAACATGTATATGAAAAATTGCTAATGTTCTGAGAACCTTTTAATGAATTACAATCAAACTTGATTTTTGAAAATTGCTTCTGTTTCAATTTGTAAAATTACGCACAGTCGAAGGTCCAATTTTGTTTTTAAATTTAAAGCGATTACCCCTTAATCCTATAAAAGAAATTGATGAAAAAGTATTTTACAAGTAATAATTGAGGCAGCCTTCAACCACCATGTGTGGTGTCATACAAAAGAGAATCAATTACCATTATTTTGGTACCCATTTTAACGGAATTAGGAGTAATTAACATCGCAATCTTAAAGCAGGACTGCACTACTTAATTGTAGCTAATTGTACACTCTATATAGCAAACAATGCCTAATTGGTGATCCCCTTTTTCTTATGTTAAAGTCAGCTCCCCCCCCCCCCCCCACTCAGTGTTATTTAGGGTACGCATATGCATGTTCCCAGCACGCCCCCTTCCCCCTCCCCCTCCCCCTTTTCACCATAAATCTGGTGTGTAAAGTCACTACGGGCAGATCTTTTTCTTTGTTACGAGCCAGAGATTTGGGAACACGCATGCGGTCCCTCCATTCCCGGAGTGAGGGCGGCCGCGGGTGTTAAAGACACATAGAAGTCAACGCAAATGGGGAATTCAACACCAAAAAGAGAAGGTCGAGTTCTGGGAATAGGTGAAATATAATTTGTGAGAGTTATCATTGTTGATATGCAAGTGTGGAAAAACATCAGATAAACCATGTTCCATGAAAAGCATGGCTCTTCAAATGCCTTTATATTCTAAATATGGCATGTAACAGCATACAAATCGGGACAGATTTTTTATGCCACATGTACGTGTAGTCCCATTTACATATTTGTGTGTACAGTGCTTGTAACTTTACCAAGACTGGGTCAAATTTCTTATCATTTTGATGATTCCCGTTCACACCAATACTTGCATGTATATATGCTAGATGATCAAACTTTTTTGATCGATCCACCCCGTTTCTTTCAAAATGCAATCCCACGACCGGAACTCAACTTTAGATTTAAGTACAAAACAGGATTTTTAAGATTTTTTTTTTCTTTACAATTTTTTTATTTTACCCCTCAAAAAACATTATATTCTATCAATCAAATTTGGTAAAGTATCTTTTTTTGTAGCTCTCTAGGAATTTGCCCATGTGCAAGGATAATATCTTTTGAAGAGTTATAGCAACCCTAATTTGACTTGACTTCCACAAAAACAATATATATATATATATCTATGTATTAGTGTATTGAGGACGTGTTTGGTGTACATGTCTTGATTTGAATCACCAGGGGCGTGGTATGATGCGCACGTGTTTGTTTGTTGTTTTAAAAAAAACATTTGGATTGCGCATTAATGGTAAGTACAAAATAGCACGGTTATTCATAAAAATAAATCCCTTGAATCCGAATTTCCGGACCAGATTAAAGAATAATCAGTAGGAAAAGAAAAAAAAAGAAAAAATGTGATTTTCGAATAATTTTTGTCAAATGCTAGGATATAATATTTATCAAACTTTTGAGTTGACGTTCTGTCAACCCCTCCCACCACCCCCCCCCCCCCCTCTCCTCCCCCTCTCCTCCCTCCTCCCCTCTCCTCCCTCCTCCCTCCTCCCCTCTCCTCCCTCCTCCCCTCTCCTCCCTCCTCCCCCTCTCCTCCCTCCTCTCCTCCCTCCTCTCCTCCCTCCTCCCTCCTCCCCCTCTCCTCCCCCTCTCCTCCCTCCTCCCTCCTCCCCCTCTCCTCCCTCCTCCCCCTCTCCTCCCTCCTCCCCCTCTCCTCCCTCCTCCCTCCTCCCCTCTCCTCCCTCCTCCCCTCTCCTCCCTCCTCCCCCTCTCCTCCCTCCTCCCTCCTCCCCCTCTCCTCCCCCTCTCCTCCATTCTCCCCCTCTCCTCCCTCCTCCCCCTCTCCTCCCTCCTCCCCCTCTCCTCCCTCCTCCCCCTCTCCTCCCCCTCTCTCTCTATCAATCGATGCCGGTGCAATTACTTTGTACAATTGACTTCCACTGAGTACACCTGTCATTTCTGGTAGAAAAGAAAGATACTTGTATTGTAAGGAAAACATCTTGTGCAGACTGGCCGTGAGGAGTTTGGGGATTTCCCACACGAGCCCACAATGAGTTTTGTTTAAAGTCTCACCTCCCTGGTATAACGTAGCTTGCCAAACCATATGTACATGTGTTGATGATACGTGAAATAAAGAGCAAAGCAATTCTCGTAAATTTGCTGTATCCCGAGTGTGATTTACAGTAATTAATTAATTCTGAGTCATAGTTGCATCTAAATGCATGTGGAATATGTGGAAATAAGGAGAAGACAAGTGGGAGCTCACGGTCGGAAGAAAGTGACGAGGGATATTAAAGGAAGAGAGACTGAAAAAGGATGAAAGCGAGAAGTCATTCAGTAAGAGAGATGACTCCCGAGATAGCCTTGGATATAACTTAGGAGTCATAGAAAGTAAATGAGGAAAATATCAGAAATAGAATAAATGAGAAAGTTAGGATTGTTTGAAAATCATAGAACAATTCATGTAATTAGATCGGGGATCTCGATCCAACTGACATTTATTTATGATAATGTCACACCTAACCCACATTGGTTTGGATCAAATTACTCAGAGTTTCGATATTTTCTGGATTTTGTAATAATGAAACATATATTTATTCATGCATGGGGTCGACATACTAGTTAAAGTATAAAGAACATATTACATGCCATCAGAAATGAGAAAATGGCATTCTTTTATTTTTTGTAAAGCCTACGCGTTACACATCAGGACCTAATTGACAAGGAGAGAATTATTTATCTCGGTTATCAATTTTTGTGACTTTCTTTGTTCGATTTATATTATCTACTCCCACCATGTTTTTTCTGCTTATAAAACACGGAGATATTAGACAAGAGAAAAAATGTCTTTGCCGGAACTAAAGGGAATTGTGCTAATTATGAAGATCTAGAGAAGGAAACATTGAAAGATATAAAAAGGAAAAAAAAGAGAATTAACAAAATAGATAGGAAAATTAATTAGATGATGCACATATAAGCCTTGACGAAAAAGACAAGGTGGAAATAATTAAAGACCAGTCGACTAGATGCATGAATATGTTTAGAAGATAAAGAAAATGTCTTATGCAATAGCCTATAGAGATAGCTAGACAAAATGAGTTCGGATATAAACGGAATGTACTGTACATACTACAGTAGTTGTATTCCCTGGTTGTAAAGCTTTGATACGACCGACTTCTACTCGATCGAGGAGTCGGAAGACTGAAATGTCCTATGTATTTTAACACACTACAAGATTCTGAACAGTTTCGAGAAAGTATTATCACATGTTTATCAAGGCTATATAGTATTGTTCAGTGTATGTTGGTAAATATGTATGAACTAGCTCTCATACCGGCCGAGAAGGGGTCGATAGAGTCATTACAATCTTACAACTCTTAAAATCAATTATTTGTAAAAATATTAATATTGAAATTTATAACTTTGTGCATGTAGTTGAGAATATGAGAGCAATTTATGTGCGACACCATGGCACATGCACAGCGAGCGTAAACATAACCACGGCCACGTACCGACAACACATTACGTTGATAACACATATTCAGCACATCATCATTGTACACGCACTTATGTTGTTGTTGTTGTTTTAATTTATAGGCGTTTTTCATTCAGAAGTGAATATTTACGCCTCTTCTCTCAGGATTTTTATTCCTTTAAAATTAGATTTACTTTTTTTGATATATAGATTTGGATAAATTGAATTTTTAAAAGCTAAACTTTTATTTAATGATGAAGAATTCAGTGGCTGGCGAGCAAAAGGCTTATCGGCTATATAGGACGCCCAAGGACCAACTCGGACACGGTACGTAGTGACAAGCTTCTCAACTCAGCCTAATGCTGAGCCTAGGCCCTCCGACGTCCACCAATATGTCTAGTCGTCTCCATCGTGTTTCTTCAAAATTTTGACCGAAAACCAAAAAATAAAAAAAAAACAGATCATGATACATGAAGATTTTAAACGTTAATATAGACAGTTCTCTCTTCTAATTTCTTTTTTTCTTTTTTTTTTCTTCTTTCTCACTCTTCTTCTTCATGTACATGTATACTCACTATAAAGAGCGAAACATATTGGGCTCAAATAATTATGTGCGGTGCAAGGTGGTTAGTAGGGGTACAGGTGTACCCTTTTAGATCTAACTACGAAGTTAACCAGAGCCTGTTGGTGATTAATATCTGTTGATTTCAGGAGTATTGGGATTAATTCTTCGTTTTCTATTCCAGATTCTGTTATAAGCATGGCTCTCTCTATAAGAAAGAGTGGGCACTTACATAAAAAATGTTTAACTGTTTCTTTTTGGTGCTCACAGTTTGGACAATGACCTGTCTCATGTTGATTCAACTCAAAAAGATTATTATTTAAACCTAAGTTTCCCATTCTTAGGCGATGAAGAATAGTTTCATGATATCTGTTGTTCAGGTAACACACTAATGTTTTTGATACTAGAGTTTGCGTTTCCCGTAGGGGGGATGATGTTTCATTCCATCTTTTTTGCCATATCTCTATGTAGTATTTCTTTATAACATAATTTGATTCTGCTCTGGTAAGAGCGTTGTTGATTTCTATATTTTTATTTAGTCCTGCTTTAGCAAACTTATCTGTTATCTCATTGTGTTGTAGACCACAATGACTGGGAATCCATTCGAAATAGACCTGGGTGCCCTTGTATTTTAGTTGACTACACAGGGTTAAAATTTCAAGAATGAAAGATTCGTCTTTACGAGATTCTATGGCCTGGAGTG